AACACTGTAACACGAAATCTTTTGGGCTCGCCTGGCCCTGGATTAAAATACCTTTAACCCCAAACCCTAAAAGACACTAAAAAGCCCCAAACCCTAAAAGGCCCTGAAAAACCCTAAAGGCCCCTAAAAGGCCCCAAACATCTAAACCCTAAACTGTTGCATGGAAATTTGAAATTCCACGGTTAGGCTGAGACAGTAAACCAAACAAAGGAACGGCGATTGAGGGATTTGTTGCCCGAAACACTGACGCCAACCTCCACCCGTCGGGAACCGCAAACGACAATGCCCTCAAGGCTGCATATTCTGGATGTTTGGACCACCCTCAAACCCCGAAATGGGTGCTCCTCTCGACATTACAGTTGGGTGCGTTTTCTCAGAAGTCTTAGATCCCAAAACAGACCGAAACCCCAATCCACATGCTGAGAAAGGCACTGGTTCAAACCCATGTCCCACGTGCGCTGCTCGTCGGAATTGTGCTGTCCTTATTTGCGACTCTTTAGCGCAGTTACGGCTGGGTGAGCTTCTGAGGATAAATCAAGGTACTCCGGCATTAAAAAACAACAGGCTAGTATCGGCCTGAGGCTTCTCTTAGTGGGGTCCTGGGTTGTGTTTTTGACACAGATCCCCAACCTTTCCCGGTCAGCATAAGCCGGCTGACAAGGGATGCTCTAATCATATAACCCTACCCTTCACGTAACCTCCTCAGCAAGTCCCATGATCCTTCGGTGAGCCGAAATGACTTGCGTAATGAAGGCTATAAGATGAACCGAACCCTATTCAGGGCACCTTGCAAGGTGCTGCAAGTATCCATGGTTTAGGTCTTGGTGTCAGGGATTAACCAGGGTTTAGAGCGAATAGTGTGAAGGTGTTGGCATTAAGTTTTTAGGGTGCTTGGGGTGTAGGATGTATAAGATGTAGGTTGTAGAGGGTTTCAGGTTCCATCCCTCGGCAAGCTGCGCACCGTCTCCATCGTTGCCTGGAAGTTGCTGAAACGCCTGGCTTCCTCGTCTTCGTCGGCATAGTCCCGGCGGAAGAAGGCTTTGAATCCTCGGAACGCAAGGCAGGATACAGGGAGAGTATACTGGCATTCTCGTGACAGCATGTACCAGCTAATTCTTCCGACCCCTATCGTACGTCTTCTTAAGTCGGAGTTTCAACGTACGAGGATCGTTTGTCGGAGTCCTTATAAAAAGCATCCTACTACGTAGGCTTTCAATATGAGCGCACTTCCTTTGGGGATATAACTTATAACAGCGCATCCTACGTAGAAGCCAAGCCAGACCCTTGAAACCCTGCGTCCTAAGCCCTTGAGCAAGGTCCTTGAAAACTTATCCCATTTAAAGTTTGAAGTTAGGGTTCAAGGGTTTAGGGTTTATATAGGGTTTAGGGATTTAAAGGTTTAGGGTTCAGGAGTTTAGGGTTCAGGGCTTTGAGGGTACAGGGATTTGAGGGTTGAATTTAGGGTTTAGGCCCATCATTGCGTTCTACCGGGAAGATACCTATAAGCCGTGTAAGCCCATAATCCATAACCTCAATCCTAAACCCTTCTAATACCCTATCCATCGGCCGACAGAAAAAAACGGATTCGATTGGTAGTTTCAAGCGGATTGGGTCCGATTGATATTTTCAAGCGGATCCACTAGTTTTCTGTGAAAACCAAGCGAAACAAAAACCTAGCGGGGAACCAATAGCAGCATATAGCAAAAACCAAGCGGAGCATTCAGGAGCACGGGTGTTTGACCGGGCTTGAAGCCTGCGATTTCTGGTTTCACAGGTTTTCACAGATCTTCACAGGTTTTCACAGATCTTCACAGGTTTTCACAGATCTTCACAGAATTTCACAGATCTTCACAGAATTTCACAGATCTTCACAGACTAATCTGTGAAGATCTGTGAAATTCTGTGAAAACCTGTGAAATTCTGTGAAAACCTGTGAAGACCTGTGTGCTTCAGAATTCCGGGTTGGGCTCGATGTTTTTGGTGTGCTGGGCACGGGAAACCAAGCGAAATCGTTGATGAAAAACCTTGCGGAATCGATGATAAAAACCTAGCGGAGAACCTAGCGGAGAAAATAGCATCCCAACCGATTCCTAGCGGGTCCGATAGAAAATGCCAAGCGCACATGGTATTTTCAAGCGCAGCAGAATCGATTGGTATTTTCAAGCGAAATCCAGTGTTTTTTCAAGCGTGCGATGGTTAGGGTATTCTAAACCGTCGACTCATGTAAACTTCTTCTGAGAACATGCTTCTTAAAGCAACTTCTGACTTTTTGTCAGTATCCGGGAATCACCGCGTGGGAGGAACAGTCTTGCAGTTTGCCACTCCAACCCCTTTGCGGTTTCGGGATTAAGCCAAAAGCCTGAATAACAACCATAGGTATGTTGGGCAAAACTCGGGAATTACGATGCCTAGCTAGGGCGATTAATCTAAAATCCTGAACAACTACTATCAGGTATGCTGGGCAACCCTCAGGCATCATCATGCTAAGTAATAAACCAGGCCCTTCATAGTAGGGCCAAGTTTGAAGCTAGCAATCCTGACAAGACCCAAGAGTGACCTAGGAATGCAAAGGCTGCCTTTTTGGTTTAAAGGGGCTTATAAAGGAACCTGGACCCTTAAAAAGGGACTAAGGGCCTACTCTAGGTGCTAGTTGAAGCTCTGTGGATCCCCAATCCACAAGCTTGACAGCCAAAATCGGCCCACGCACTGTCTCAGCGCTTTTCTAGATTAGGATTCCTTTGGGGATGCTCGAATAACACCAACTCCTACCAATCTAACTGCCTGAATTTAAACCGAAAAAATCTAATCTAGCCAAACTCGCCAAGGCTCCGTCGAAAGCATTTCGCACCTCCTCCGCTGTCAGCGGTTTGCTCGCATCTGTCCACGCAGCCTCAACGAGAGAACCGAAGTTATTTGCAACTTCCGGGGTTTAGGGTTTGGGTCATTGTATTTAAGGGGTTTAGGGGGGTTGCCACAAGCAGGCTGTTATTGTCGACGAAACCTGTCATAAATACGAGATGGTTCGGCATAAAAGGCTTCAATACGTAAAGGCTACTGTAGATGCTCCTTCAACTCACACATGCCAGCTACATTTGGCGGGCCTTCATAGGCTAAGTAGGTGCAAATGTGCTGCGTCGGGTTGAGGGTTGGTTTTGGATGCGGGACTTGATGAAGGGGAAATCGGGTTTCGGGTTTACAGGGCTTAAGAGGGTCTTCTGGGTTTATGGGGTGCACATCGCTGATCTTAGTTGCTGAGTTCAGAAGCCCCAAAAAGTTTACACTTTCAGTTTTAGTGGGTAATACAAGGGGTCTCTTTAAGGGTTCTACAATATAGGGGCTTTAATAATCAGAATAGGGGCCTTAAAAGGGGACGATAAGGGCTACTACAAGGGATCTAAAAGGGTAGCATAGGATACGGGCCTTAATAATTAGAGTAGGGTTTTGGGGCCCGTTGTACTTTAGTAATGATAAGGAACCCCCAAAACAGTATTGCTAATTATTGAGGCTCCTATATTATATAATTCCAACGCACCCCAACAACTCCTATGGGTGGACCATAAAATAGACCGTAACTTAATAATATTATGGGAACCTGACTCTTTACCTGTAGGGTGCTTTGTGAATGCTGTTGCGGGGTAAGGGTCCTGGACTTCAGCCACTCCTTCAGACCGAGACACGACTAGCATAAATCCAAGTAGGTTAAATCCCGAATCCCGTAATCCAAACCCACACCCGGACGTAGCGGACGTAGCGTAGACACCCGAAACACCAGAACCCCTCATTTCGTGTAACCTATTGACTACTGGGCCAGCCAAGAAGCCACTGTTTTGGCCAGGCAAAGCAGTAGCGCTGTCCGGCTACAGGCCGCCATGTCGAGGGAAGGATGGGGTAAGGGCAGGGGTACAGAGCCTACGCCTACTTCATTCCCGAGCCGAAAGGCAACGGGGTTTAGGGATTGGGCTTTGGAGTTTAGGGTACCCAGAGACTCCAATATCCCTCAATTAAGGATTATACCTGAAATTATACAAGGATCCCTAATATTATTTAAAGTTTATTCCTTGCAATTGATTACGGGACATGGGAGTCTCTAGGTATTTTCCGGCTCAAGGCTGCATAGGGCTTCCAGGCATAGAGGCTTCTAGGTACAGAATATTCAAGAATCGAACTGTGCACAAGCCTTCAGGAATCCAGCGAAGAGTTCGGAATCCAAAGCGAGCCCTAAACCCGAAGCCCAAAACTCTAAATCACCCCCGAACCCCATCGACCTCTGACACGAAACTCTCGACCTAAAACCTCTAGAAGGCCGTAGTTCGAGGCTTAGCCTAGCCCCAGCAAACTAGGATGGTTCTACAGACGCCCAGCCCAAGCAGTACCAGCAATTATTCAAACCTGTGCATCCCGGTTCACAGGACCCAACAAATGATCCAGTACTCGGGTTTCGAAGAATGGTTATGTAGGTTGCTTTTTAAGAGCATATGATAAATTGGCACTTGGACTCTCGCAATGCTTCCGGCTTGGAGTGTAGACCTTTCCGTCCGCGCATGCCCAAAACTGAAGATAGAGCCTCTACGGACCCGGTAGGCAACCTGTGCCTGTGGCTTAGGGATTTTGAGCTTTTGGGTTATATGGGGCTCGGGGCTTCAGGAATGTATGGGTTTAGTTACAACTGTAAGGTTTCAGCATTCAGGGGTTTAGAGTTCCAGAGGTTGGGATTGAGACCCAGCCCATCCCGCCGTCTGAGCTTGGGTCTAAGGGCTTCGGGTTCAGGAGGTTCAGTCGAGGCTTTCGGGTTTAGGGCCTCGGGGCCTGCACACGATGCCCCGAAGCCCATAACCGAAAGCTAAGTACTAATTGATAGGGCAGGGGTTTTGGCTTGCGGCCTTGATCTTAAGTCTCAAGAAGGTATAAACCCTGAACTCATTATTAACCCAAGAAAAACCATCATAAATACACTCCTAAATCCTAAACCTGAAACAACACGAAGGAGTTTGAGCTTCCACCTCGCCAGTGACCATGACGTTTGGGTTGAAGACGTTGATCTGCAGAAAGCGGCTTTCATGGTTCGTGCCCCTCATACGGTTTAGGGTTTAGCGTGTACAGTTTCTTGTCCTTGACCCCCGAAAACCTAGTTTGAGCCATGATTACGACCCCTAAAACCTTGGCTTTTCAGAGTTTGCGGTGGCGTTCTATCACACAAGATCCTCTTAAACCTGATTGTCACCTGTGACGAGGCATGTATGGTGGCAAAAACGTCAGGTGTGGCGAGCACCAACGTGCGAACAAAGCAAACCCTGTCGCAACGTTTGGAACCGAGGTCCATCGAGGTCATGGGGAATCATCTGTCTGGCTCTTTAGCAGGGAATGTGCGAATGGGTCATGGGACTATTATTGCTGATTATATAGGGAGTACTACAGGGATCCATTCCCCCACTCCCTACAGAACCAGACAGTTTGGGGCGTGAGAGTTTTCGGATTGCTATGCCAGGTAAACCTTTGGATGCTTTTTGGTGTGCTTGAGGCATCCATCTGAGATACCCAGTAAGTAGGGCAAGTAGGGTTCCGCTCAACTTCGGTGAAACAGCAGCGCCAAACGAGCACAAGCTCGCAGATGGTGCATCCCCGCATGCAGCAATTGATTAGCGACGGATAGCCAGAGGGGGCAGGTGTACTTAAAGGATCATGGGACTTAGCAAGTAGGTTATAATTGGGGTTATAAGTCCCCTAAGTGGGGTTGTCCTGATTATAACCTACTTGTAACCTTACCTACTAAGTCCCATGAGCCTTTAAGTAGAGACTTCTCATGAAAGAGCTCAGAGCTCGCGTGCCGGAGCTGCTCAACCATCGTAACACACCCACAAAGCGTGGCAATGATTTGGCTCAAGGTGGTTGTCAGAGCCCGCTGGTTCCGATGGCCCTCGGGGCAATCCTGAACAGACATCCAGCCCAAAAGCCAGAAGTTCTTTTGCAATGCCGCTGGTAACAAACTTCACCTGGTTCGGCACCTGCGTGCTGAAGGATAAAGGCTCATTGTGGAACAACCGCCTAGAAGGATCATGAACCGTGCTTATAAGCTCCGCACGAAGTCGCGGAGTCCCAGATCCTCCGTGGAGCTAGAGATACCCAGAGAACGCGACGCCCCTTAGGCAGAAGCAAACTTTTGCGTAACAAAACAACCATAAACAACCCAAACAAGCGCCGCTACTAGTAGCCCGATAACAATGCCTTCTGGGTCGCTCTGCATGCCGGGGAGGACTCCAAGAACCCGCTTCTACAAGCCATCCGAGCCTGACTTCTACCTATTCGACGGGTACTTCAAGGTTCGTGTTTGGGGTTCAGGACTTATGTGGGGTTCCTTAAAAAATCCTTGAGGGGCTCCCCAAAGGTTCTATCAGGGATTTCCTATATAAATAATTACCAATACTATTTTGGGGGGTTGCTGATTCTATTTATAGTATGATGGGCCCCAGACTCTATTCTATTTATTAAGGCCCCTACATTACCTGCAGCCCGAAACTCTGCGACATAGTCTGCGATGACGCGGCTATAACCCCTGGCTTTTGCAGAGTTCAGGGTACCACTTGAAACCTCGTCTCTTTAGGGTGCCATCTTATGATTTCCTTATGCAAGTCCTGAAAAAGGTATGTTATTTGGGCTTAAGGTCAGGGTTCAGGCTTCGCTTTTGGAAGAGTGTACCTTGTCCTGCGATATGATAAGTGGGCCCACCTTTGGTTCCTGCATCCTTGTAATGATTGGGATCCTCTCTCCTACATGTGCGGCAGCAACAGGCCTGTGTGGCCCCGATAGCCTAAGGGTTATCCTTGCTTGACTACATCCGCAAACAGCATACAAATCTCGGATCCCAAATCATGGCCTCTCAAAACCTTCATATCTAAACCCAAACACTAACAACACACCTTAAAACCGATTATTCAATTTAATCAACACACCACAAAAGTAAAAACATGCAGAAAAAAACACCTGAGGAACCGAAATAAAGAGCTTTCACATTGCTGCCGAGGGTCTTGGGATTATACAGGTACTTGATAAACACATCGAGCTGGCATCAATATAACTCCCTGCACTTGTAAGCCTGAAGCACCGCGAACATCCCAAAATCCACGACCTGGCCTAAACCCCAATCTGTCCATGTAGTGGCTTCTGTATGGCGGATGCCCTACCCTAAATCCTAAGCCCTTAAAAAAACGAACAAAAAGAGACAACAGTCGGATCTTCACTGTAGTTCCTCTGGGACAAGGATCCCTTCCCATATGGGAGTTTCCGAAATTAGGGGACCCTAACATAGTATCCTAAATAAGAGGATCCTTATTATAAGGACCCCAAAGTAAGGTACCCCGAATTTTCCGAAACTCCCATATGTGCCTCGGACACCGCGTCCGTCTCCCCGCAAGTACCATTCAGTGGCACAGCCTGCATTCAGGAATCACTGCACCGAGTACGAACTAAACTAAAAGCATGGGCCGTGGAAATCCTTGAACCCTTGACTCCAAACCCCAACAACCCAACAACCCCACAGCCGAAACCTCGTTCAAGCCTAAACCCTCAACCGGTACATCCTAAACCCACACCCAGAAGCCTGAAACTCTAAAGCCCAAAAAGCCTGAATCCAATTTTTGTGATGCGAACCTCGACAGCTCTTCAATGCCGTCGGGGGTTTTGTTTCTCCTTATCGTCCTGCATAGGTATCCGATAGGATAGAAGTCCTTCTGCTGAAATGCCTACGAAATCTTGCTCAAACAAAAGACTTTGTACAAAGTGTAAGAAGAAGACCTCGAAAATAGTCCCTAACCCTAAACCCCTATAAACCCCTAAACCCCTAATTCCCTAAACCCCAAAGCACTAAACCCCTAAGCCCTGAACCCTAACCCCCCCCCCCCCCCCCCGGCCCTCCCCCGCTGCGAAACTCTGCCTGGATGGCATGGAAGGTCGTAAGGTCGAAGCCCAGAATGTCCATCTCACACCTTGGCTCGAAAACAGGTCGGGGGTGGAGTCTTGTTTTTTTGTTGGTGGCGGGGGGGGGGAGGGTATTTACCTGCTTCAAACCACCATCAGCTAGACCATACAGCTTTGAGAAGGTTTCATATTCTAGCCACCCGTAGGCAAAAACTGCCTATTGCAAGGAGTGAACAAAGATATCACAATACCGAAACGATAACTGCAGAAACAAGCGCCCAAACGACTAGAAAGGAGCTGGACGTAGGTCTCTTACCCTAAGGCTCTAAGGACTCGTAGTTCAAGGCTTTTGGGCCTAAAGACCATATATTATATAAGGCTTTTGGGCCATTTCAAGCCTTAGGGTTAAGAAACTTCGAGGATCCCGCCTCTTCTATGTCCAGGTCCCCACGGGACCCGTGAATGATAACGGTACCCTTTGCCCTGCTACTCAACTTCATCGCAGGCAGACCTCCCCAAAAAAATGGCAAGGGTACTTCTACTTGGGAACCGGTGGAGAATCCTTTGAGTCCCAAGAATCCGCTATATAACTCGTCGGATGGTGGCACAAAAACGCTGTTGGGGGGTGAATTCTGAGTCTGAATGTAATGGTATAATTACATAAGGTACCCCCCTATCGGCCCTATCGTCTATCTTCGAAAAAACTAGGACTGCGCCCTACACCCTAAAGCCTGAAGCCTAAATCCTGGTGTGAGCCAAAGCACCGGATGTTTTCCACGCATTCGAAGAGCTGGCCACCCTCCACGCCGCGCACTCGCAGCTCCCCTGCCAGCATGTCGAGATCCTGGAAGCAGGACTCTACGGGTCTGTAAGGGATCCTTGAAGGGCTAAGCCTACCTACAGAGTCATACCCTTTCTTAGGATACCTAGCTTCATGGTTAAGCTAGGATCTCTCCATATGGAACAGGGGGTAGGGCATGAGTCTATAGATAGCGCCCAGGCTTTAGAGTCTAGAGAGGTGGGGTCTATCGTCGTCTTCGCATATAGAGAATAGAAGGGGATACTGTTTGCAATTAGTCCATGGCAGTCTGCTGGCTCCACCCCAAGTGGCACCGGCGGGTTCAGGCTAAGGGGGAAAGATATCAGTTCGCCGAAAACCGCGAGGCTACTTGCCCTCAACCCCTAAGCCCACGAGCCCTCAACACTAAGCCCTCGACCATAAACCCCAGAAGCCTGAATCCGATTTGCAGCATTGAACTGATACTGTAGGCTTAGGGTTTAGGGGGAACCCTTATGGGCACTCGACACAATCCTATAATACACCCCAGATTCTCAACACTCAATCCAAAGTTAGAAGTCAGCCCTGTTTGTAAGCCCACGACAGCTGGAGCGGCGCAGGGAATCTCAGCCTCATCCAACAGTCCCAAACATGCTTTATAATCAGGGCTCTATGTTAGACAGTACGGGAAATTACGTATGACTTATCCCAACTCGGTATCTAATATAGGGTTCTAAGTCAGAAATCCTGAATCTTTGTGGGTCAACCCCTTACTACTTACTTCCCAAATACCTATGGGGGAAAATGTTCAAACTTTCCTATAAGAGCCCCGAAAGTTGAAAAGCTGGGTTTTGGTCACTAAGACTTACTTACTCAATAAGCCACAGAAATGAAAGGTTAAACTTTCCGATTCCTACTAAACTATAAGAACCCAAAAAAGTTGAAAGGTTTGGTATTGGGATCTAAGACTAATATAGGGGCCTCAAGAACTACCAATACTATTTTTGAGGTTCCTTAAATATATATATTTATACTATAATATACCCCCCACACCCTATTCTAATTATTAAGGCCTCTATACTGCTACCCTTATAGATCCCTTGTAGTAGCCCTTATCGTCCCGTTTTCAGGAACCCTATTCCAATTATTAAGGCCTCTATACTACACCCTAAACCCTAAACCCTATAGATCCCTTAAAGGAGCCCCTTAAAGGTACCCTTCTAGATCCCTTTAAAGGAACCCTATAGGGATTTTTATCATCAGCCCTACAGCATCGTCAACTCTAGGGCTTCAGCTGCAGAAAATTCCTGGCCGAGGCTGTCAACCAAAGCCTTCGACGGTTTGGGGATTAGGGTTTAGGGTTTAGGGTTTAGGGTTTAGGGTTTAGGGTTTAGGGTTTAGGGTTTAGGGCCGAGGCTGTCAACCAAAGCCTTCGACGGTTTGGGGGTTTAAGTTGGTTGGTGGGTGATGTTTTTGAACTCCTTTTCTCCAGAGACAGCAGTCTGCACTCTCGAAAGGCTTACACAGGTGGGTTTAGGGTTTAGGGTGATCCGAGGTGAGGGGCCGAGGCCTTTAATGAAGGGATTAGGATCTAGGATTAAGGGTTTGAGGGTTTGAGGCTTAGGACTTAGGAGTTATGTTTTGTTAAGCACCAGGGTTTAGTTTTCTTTTGTTAGTTTGAAGGGCCTTTGGGGGTCTGCATGAAGCATCTCCAGCCCAGTTGGGCAGGGTTTAGGGTTTGGGGTCTAGGGTTTACGGTACTACAGGAGCCTCAATAATCAGAATAGGGTTTTGGGGAATCCTATACTGTAACCATGTTAAAGAACCCCCAGAATAATATTGGCAATTATTTAAGCCCATTGATTTTCGTACCCTTATGGATCCCCCATAATAACCCTTGTAGACGCCTCTAAAGGAACCCCAAGAATACTCTAGGGTTTAGGGTATGCTTGCAGTAACCCTAAGGGTCCAAAGCACCCAATAATAAAGCGCTTAGGTTTCGGATAGTAGTTATGTAGGTTACTATTTGGGAGAGTATATGATTATTAGGTACTTAGACCCTTGGGGTAAGCTCCGGACGGTTCCATTGACACCCGGAGCGCAGTAGCAGAGGTCATAGCTGCCCAGAGGCAAGGATCCCAGCCTGCTTCCGCAGAGGCGTCTGTTTGGCTAGGATACCCAGTAACCTAAGAATAAAAAGGCATCTCTTTTTGGTATTGGGTAACTTTATAAGGAACCTAGGACTACAAAAAGGGAATAAGGGTACTACTGGGCATCCTGGTTGGGTTTGTTTTACGGATTTTTTTTTTTAAAGTGCAATGGCTTCTTTCTGTGCAGAGGGTTTAGGATTTCGGGTTTAGGATTTAATCAGGGTTTAGGGTTTAGGATTTCGGGTTTAGGGCTTAGGAGTTAATCAGGGTTTAAGGCTTAGGGCTTAGGTTTATTTGAATGGTTTGGGCGGAACCTAAACCCCGAACCCTGAAACCCTTAAATACAAAACCCTAAGGTCCTTGAACCCCAAACCCTAAAACCCAAAACCACAAACCCTCAACCCCAAACCCTCAACATAGGGGCCCTGGAATAGGGTGCTGGGGTATATCCGTAAAGATTGAATAAGGAACCCCGAGGAACAGTATAGATGTTCAGGCCCCTGTTGCTAGTTTAAGGATTTCGAGGTTAATAAAGGTTTCCTTTTGGGGCTCACAGTTTCTTGCAGGCTGCTGGAAGCCTCACGGCAACTCGGACCCCACGTCCCACATGTCTTACCCCGCCTCATCAACAATCTATAAGCTTTCTCCCTAAACCCTGAAACTTAAACTCTCAAGAACAGACCAGACCCCCCAAACCCCTAAACCCTGCTTGCGAGGGGCTCGTAAGTCGTTTGAGTCGAGGAGGCCACGACCGGTGAAAGAAGCCTGGCATTGAAAAAGAGTTTGAGAAAGGGTTTAGGGTTCAAGAGATTATTACTACGAATATCATTATAATACTAGAAGCAACAATAATGGTAATATTAGTACTAATAGCACTAATAAGAATAGCAATTTCAAGTAATACTACTACTAAAGCTTCTTTATTATCACTACTATTGATACTGTGGCTGCTTGCTGTGGGAGAAGGCAAGGCAATTCAAAGACCCTCGGAGACTGAACAAAAGCCATGACCGGCACCAAGAAACATGCTGAAGCCGTAATTTACCGCAACAAGAATAGTAGCAGCACTACTAATTCAAGCAGTAGTCACCACTAGCGTGATTCATAGCTATTACTCGTGTGCTCCATTGCCGTCGCCAGCCTGTGGCAAGACCTTTTCCTACTATCGGTAAGTTATTAGAATAGACCATTTCCATTTTCAAGGGTTAGGGATTTCTGGTTGATACTATCGGGTTTTCTGTGGGAGTGCGGGTGTATCGGGTTGAGGTTGGTTTTTTCTATGTGGCGGTGTATGAGTGTTCTGGTGGTTCCAGCATGTGGGTTTTTCTTATGGCTCTTTTGGTGAGGTTATGGTTGAGGTATAGGTTGTTATGGTTTTGGGTCTTCGGGTGGGTCTTTCCTAGGGTTCTACCTATGGGCCTTGGGTGAGTTGAAGATTGAGGTATAGGTTGTTATGGTTTGGGTGCTAGGGGGGGGTGCATGAGTTGAAAATGGAAATGGTCTATGCTAACTTTAAGGCACCACTCTTGGTTTAATCTGGACAAGCGAGGCTCACCCAACGCCCTATAAGCCCTAAACCGCAACACTAAACCACAAACCCTATATCTCCCACAAAAACCGAGACCCCCAACCCAAAAACCTCTAAACCTCAACTAACCCAAACCCCTAACCCCAAACCCAAACCCGAAACAAGAAACCCCTGAAATTAATCTGGCCAAGGAAGGCCCACCCAAGGCCGCTGGGCCAGCCTCTGCTTTTGAGGGTTTAGGGTTTATAGGGTCTCTTAGGGTTTATGGTTCGGGTCTTAGGCTTCAGTGACTAGGCTTTTTAGGTTATTTATGAGTTTTTCTTGGGTTTAAGGTTAGGGGTTCTGGGCTTCGGGGGTGTTTTGGGTTTCCGGGTTTAGGGTTGAGCGGTTTGGAGATTCGCTTTACAATGGGCCTTGCTCTGTAGGGCATAATTACGGGGTTTTGCAGCTTACAATGCTCAGGGTTTGCAGCTACGGCTTCTACAGGGTGTTCCAGTGATGGGTGCACTGGGCAGAGGAGCTAGGTCCCCTTGGCATGAAAAAAAAAGCTGAGGACGGAGAACAACGTTGTCTACCTTTAACCATGGTGCTGTTGATGATGATGATGATGATGCCCTAAACCCTAACATGTTGACGACGGCGATGACCATGATGATCACCAGCAGCTGACGATGGTTCAGGATGTCCTGAAGACATAGGACAAAATAATGCTATCAAGAAGTATAGAAAGCTCTTGGGCTGGGTCTCCGGCTGGCGCGCAGGCAGTGATGTTTCCGCAAGAGCTTTGCGAAGGACAGACCTGCGAGGTCTTGAAATCTGGTGTCGCCGTTTAGAGTTTCCTGGGCGGGCCTTGAAGTAGGCAAAACCTAAATAAACGTCTGCTTCGCAATGCTTCCTTTAAGGAACAGGTCCAGAATGTAAAGCATTAACAGATGGTACTCCAGGACCCCGATTTCATGCTTGTTGTTGATTCTTGTGCCACTATAAGAACCATGCACAAGTACTTGATCCGTCGGGGGTTGCAAGGTGCCTGAAGTACATCCAGGGCCGACAAGCGCACGCCGTTCACCTGCCATGTAGCTACGATGAAGCGAAACCAGCCACGCCAATACACCACAAGTAGCGTGTGCGCGTGTGTGCGCCCGTGTGCGCGCGTGTGCGCGCGTGTGCGCGCGTGTGTGCGCGCGTGTGCACGGGTGTGCGCAGGTGTACGCGGGTGTGCGCGGGTGTGCGCGGGTGTGCGCGGGTGTGTGTGCGGGTGTGTGTGTGTGTGTGTGTGCGCGCTTATCAGGTTAAGGGTTTATTGTTGTCTGTATGTATGTATGTATGTATGTATGTATGCACGTATGTATGTATGCATGTGTGATGGTATGCACGTA